AAACAGCAGAGCTCACCTGCCTCGTTGCCCCTCAGTTGGGAGGATCACGTCTGTGGTTTGTTTGTTTGTTTTGTGCAGACCAACAGCAAGGCCTTTACAGCCAAGACCTCATGTGTGCGACGCCGGTACCGTGAATTCGTGTGGCTGAGGCGGCAGCTCCAGAAGAATGCTGGCTTGGTGTAAGCGTGCCCTGAGCTCCCTGCTTTCCCCCACCTGCAGCCAGACACCACACTTCCATTGCTCTGGGTATCTTATGTGCTCTCGGAGCAGATGGGGATAAAAAAGGCAGAGGGGTGGCTTTCTCCAGACGTAGATGTGGGATACTGGCACTCGTGAGGTCTGGCTCTGCACAAAGCAGGGGGCCAGTTGCTGCTACCGTGGTGCCCCACATCTTCTTGCTCCAGGTCTGGGCAATCTGACCCTGAGCTGCTGCCTTTGCTCTCTTCCTGCAGGCCTGTCCCAGAGCTGCCTGGGAAATCCACCTTCTTTGTGGGGAGCACAGATGAATTCATTGAGAAGAGGAGGCAGGGGCTGCAGCAGTTCCTGGAAAAGTGAGGGAAGCTCTTGCACACACCTCTGGGAGGGCGTGAGAGGGAGGATGCAGCGCTTGGAAGATGCTGTTTGTGAGGTGGCAGTGGATCTGCTGGGGGGGTCACCCTGGCAATGTGAGCTGCCTGGGCAGGGCCGAGTGCTCTGTGCTCCTGCAGACTTGCCTCACCCCCTTCTCTTTTGGCACAGGGTTGTGCAGAATGTTGTCCTCCTCTCCGACAGCCGGCTGCACCTCTTCCTGCAGAGCCAGCTCTCCGTGCCTGAGATAGAGGCATGTGTGCAAGGCCAAGGCTCACAGACAGTGACAGAAGCCATCCTGCACTATGCCATGTCCAACTGTGGCTGGGTGCAGGAGGAGGAGAGCCGCCCTACGCTGCTGCCGGGAGGAGGTGTGCATGGCAGGTAATGCAGGCAGGGAAAGGCTGACCCAGGGGCACCATGGTGGGGCAGAGCCCAGCTCTCTTGCTGTGCTCAGAGCTGCTTTGTGCTGGCTTGAGCAGACCTGGTACCAGCAGCACCCTGAGCCAGGTGGTGCCCTGCTGCCCACACCTCCCCTTGCCTGTGCTTGCAGCTGTAGGAATGCTGCTTAGAAATGGCTGGTGTCTGTGCAGTGGAGTTTCACTTTTAGGAAACAACTCCTACTATGAAATGAGAGGAGCTGCCAGCCTTTCCAGGGACTCCTGAGTGGCTTTTTGAGTTGCCTGTCACATCTTTGTTGCAGTCATTTAAAGGAATAAAGCTGAGCGTGTGTTCCGTAGCCCTGCACAAAAGCAGGCAGGATTCCAGGGGCCAGATGAGCAGAGATGGATGTCACAGGCTGTTGCCAGTGTCTCCTGTGCTGCCCTTCAGGCTGCCTGGGAAGGGTGACCTGTTCTGGCCATAGCCAAGGCTTAGCAGAGGAGAGCTTGAGTCTCCCAGAAAAACTTAAGCTGAGATTTACAGAGATCTTTGGATGCATTCCTTTCTTAATCTCTGTGTAGTGAGGAACCTTTGAGCCTTTCAGAACACAGGTTTTATGTGCATCTTCTCCCTGCCCTTGCAGTGTGCAAGGCACGTCTCACGCCCTCCACAGAGCAGAGCGCTGGCTGTGTGTGTGTGAATTAGCCAGGCATCAGGTAAGGAGGGCTGCCACCTTGCTGCCAGTCGAGGGTTTTCTGTACCTGGGGAGACAGCTGCTATGGTAGGAGAGGAAAGCATCCTGCGTTTGTCACCTCTGCATCAAGTCCTGCAGGTTCAGGTTCCCTGGCAGTGAAGCTCCGCATCCCTGCGCTCCTTGAGCCTGCTGTGCAAGAGGCCGTGTCTGGCCTTCTGTACCACTTCTGCAAGTGCTTTTTCAGCTTGGTTTTCAATGAATGGAAAGAAAGATGTTTCTAGACCCCAGCCGTGTTGAAAACAGAGCTCTTTGTGCTTGAAGGATAGGGTTTGGGAGAGCACAGCAGCCCCAGCTAGCAGGGTAGGTATGCAGGTGTTGGGCTGTGTTTTCCTTGCTGCTGCCAGCACCTTCTGCCTCTCACTGATGGTGCTGCCCTCGTGTACAACCACGAGCAGCCGCTGCAGTGCTGCCAGTGCTCTGACTGCTCTCTCTTTTCAGCTGTGCCAGCCTGGGGGCCACACAGGGGCTGAGCTGCCTGGAGACCCTGCCGCACTGGAGCGACTTTGGCATGGATGACGCGCACTCGGACAGCCCTGATGAGCCAGCAGAGCCCTTGGGTGGACGGCAGGAGAAGCAGTAAATGGTTTGAGCGACCTCGCCTGCCTTCCCCAGGACCTGCAGCCCTCTCTGGAGGAGCTGCTGCTGGCTGAGCCAGTGGGAGGCCGGGCTGGCAGGACTGGGGATGTGCTGGGAACACGGCTTTGTCCTTGGCTCTGTGGTGTCTGGGGCTCGTGTGCTCTCTCCCTGATGACTCTCAACTGTCCTTGATGTCCCAGGCAGCGTGTTTGTGTAGCTCTTCTCTTTGGAGAAGAGATCTAGTGGTTAGTGAAACCTGTGTTTCTTATTCCCGTGGCCCTTTGCTCTCCAATTGGAGTGGTAGCAGGGCTTGGTTAGGTCACAGTGCACAGTGTTATTGGTACATTCCCGGCCCTGGGCAGGGTGGGATGTGCTGGCTGTGATGTGTGCAGCCTCAGACTGGCAGTGGGGAGCTGGCTGCTGCCCAGCAGATCCCTTTGGGTCAGCCCTCCGTGTGGAGGCTGCATTTCCCCAGCAGCAGCAGCTCTGTGCAGCTCCTGGTGGTCTCAGCTGCACGGAACCCACAGCAGGCTGCAGATGCTCTGCCCACACCTGGGTCCTGCTGGCAGCATTTGCCCCACGAGCTGCACGCAGCTGGGACAAACAGAGACAAAACCCACCCAGGAACGAGGGAACAGTTTATCTCCCCTGCCTGCTTGTGCAGCCACCCCTTCCAGATGGGATTCTGCAGCAGAACAAACCTTTTCCACACGTTGATAGCACAGTGGGGGAACGTGGGAGCAACAGGGGAGGAGAACGGGGGACTCACAGCCAGGAGGGAGGGAGCTCAGAGCGACGCAGCATGCAGCTGCCTTGCAGTGGGTGTCTGGCAACGCTTGGGCCCTGGTTACTTTTGCTGCTGCTCCCCTGTGCTCTCCTGCACCTTTTCCTATACCCTGAGCACTGGTAGAGGCAGAGCCGACGTGCTCTGACTTGAAATAAAAACGAAGTAGAAGAGGCTTGCTGCTTGCTGGTGATGTCTGTCCTTGCTGTGTGGGTGGAGGGAGCCAAGCAGGGCCGAGGCCAAGCTAATTGGAGATAGATGGCTGGAGGGAACAGAGCTGCTGATTGCACCTCTCCCTATAGGGCTGCCCCTGCTGGTGCAGCTCACTCGGAGGGAGAGGTGAGAGGGTCCACAAAGCAGAAAGCAGGAGGGAGGGTCGTGCTGTGAGATCTGCAGGGCTTGGGGTGGTTGTCCTCACACAGAGGTTTGGGTTTGCAGAGGAGGGAGGGTTGGAAACCCGTCGTCGTGTCGCAGCCGAAATGTCAGGAGAAGTTCATGGTGAAGGCTGGCAGCTGCTGGTGCCATTGGCTGCCCCCCTTCATACATATTCATGTCTGCTGATGAGCGTGCAGCTCCAAATGGCTCAGCTGCGAGGCCAGCTGTGGCCATAGACCGCACAGCATCCTGCAGGCATTGCTCCTTCGGCCAGGGCTGCAAAACCTGAGCACGGCACTCAGCCTGGAGCCGCAGCCCTGCTCCGGGCATCCCTCTCTCCATGCCCTGCCAGGAGCTGGCCAGCCCTGGGGCTTCCCTTTGTAAGTGATGGAGATCCAGCAGCCCTGCAAGCAGAGCTCGGTCCTCCTGCAGGGTGCCCATCCTTCCCCCTGGGGGGTGCAGCTGCTGCCCCGGTGTTGGCTGCTTGTCAGAGCCAGGCGGAAATTATTTTTAGTGGTGTTGATCGACTCTGCAAAGCTGTCGGGAAAACAGTGACTCATTCGGAGGCAGAACCGTGGAGGGGGGGGGGGGGGGGGTTGAATAGCCCCCCCGGTGCTGCTTGCAGAGCAGAACAGCGCTGCTCCCGCACTGCTGTGGCCGTAGGAATGGCTGGGGATGGGGTCCAAGACGTGCAGGGATGGTTTCGTGCGGGGCCTGAAGGCGATGGATGGGGGTGCCGGGTCTCTCTGCCATGCATGGAACCGATGTGGGGGGAGCGCAGCCGGCTGTGGCTTGGGGTTTGCTCCGGGCTTTGAAGCAGCTGCGGTGGGCACACGGACCGGCTCAGGGCAACCCCCCCCCCCCCCATCCTCCTCTTCCCCGCAGCCCCGCACGTCTCTCCGCTCCCCGCCGCTGCCAGGAGCAAAGCTCGCCGCCTGGACGCGATCCAGGCTCTCCAGACAGCGCATCCTCGCCTTCCACGCCCGCTCCGGGGAAAGCTGTCTCAAATCTGTGCAAACAAACCACGGCGTTGTACGACCCCCCCCCCCCCCCCCTCAATCTCACTGCACGCACCCACCGCTCCGTGTCCCCGGGGTACCAGGAGGGGGGTTGATGGAGCAGGGCAGGATTCAACCCCCGTGGTGTAAAGCGGGGTGAGCACCGTGCTGCAGTGCACGGAAGCCCTGGGAAAGGCTCTCTGCTGCTTTGGATCTGGAGGAAGGTAAAGGGCAGCTGCCGGTGGGCCGGGGTAGAGGTTGGGGGCGGGGGGGTGGGTTGTGAACGTACACCTCCATCTCCTCCCTCTGCACACCCCCATCCCGGAGGTCCCTCCGTGCCCAGCTGAGCTCTGGGCATCCCAAATCCATCCCAAAGGCCCGAGGTCCGTACTACTAGCGAGCCCCGCATCAACGTTACCCGGCTTCTCAGCCCCCCATCCCCCCCCTTACCCCCTTTCCAGCCCCCCACCGCCGGTGTCGCGCCCCCGGCCGGGCGGTGCGCGGGCCCAGAGCGCCACCTGGCGGCTGCACGGCGTAGTGCAGCTTGGAGCGGATAAAGTGGGGAGCGGGGGGGGGAGCGAGTTTATTGCGGACCCCCGGCCCATGGGGGGGGACGGGGGGGGCTGATGATGCCCGAGTACCGAGGGGTGTGCAGAGTCCGGAGCAGCGGGTGGTGGCACGCAAAGCTCTTCTTGTAACGGGTTCTCAAGGCTGGGCAGGGTCCTTTTGGCATCTCAGCGTGGGCAAGGGGAGGGGTGAGCGCCTGGATTTGGGGAGGGGGGAGAGAAACGGTGAGTGTGGGGAAGGGGATGCAGGGTAGGGCTGTGGGTCACAGAGAGGACACGAAGGTCTCCGTGCCCAGAGGGCGGTCAGGCGGCTGCTGACCCCCTGCTGTCCCAGCCCCACTGCTGGGCTCCATTTCCCCGTCTGCCAAATGCCTCCCTATCTATGGGCTTTGGGAGAATAGCCCAGTGCTGCTGTCAGTGCAGGTTGCAGCTGTCATATACAGCTCTCAGGGTCTGACAGAGGCAGCTGCGGTGGTTTTGGCACAGCTTTCTGCCATAGAACTGAATGGAGCTGAAATCCAGGCAGGGACGCTGCACAGAGCCCCCATCTCTTGGGTGAACATCTGAAGGTCACCACGTCCCCACAGCCCTGTCATTCCCAGCCCCACACATGCATCCCCATCCACAGCTGTTCTGGGCACGGTGGCATTTTCTCTGACCCATGCCTGTTTCCCAGCCCCACCACCTTCCTTCCATGTAAAACAGAAACCAGAAGATGGAGCCAAACTGTCCTGGGAGAGAAAGGAACAGCGCTGCCTCCCCATCACACAAACCCCGGGCTGCCACCTCTCACCTGGGCACCTCCATCCTCACCGTTCCTCCAGCTCATAAGCAGCTGCCAGGTAATCCTTGGGGACGATCCCGACGGTGCTGTTGAGCTCCCCGACCCACCAGCCATACATGTTGTACTCCTGGGGAGGCACAGCAGAATTAGGGTTAATGCCAGGGGCAGCGGGCGCAGCTCTGCTCCCTTCCTTTGGCAGCTGGGTTCACACAGACCCGTTTCTCTCCCCTCTGAGTCCCACCGGGAGGCACTTTGCTGCCCTTCCTCACCCCCCCATCCTTCATCCCCTACCCTTCACTTCCCATGGGATGTGGGTCAGTGCAAGAAAGGGGGGGGGGCTGCATCCCATACTCTGGCACAGCCCTTTCCCTCAGCCCCTTCCCATGCTTTGCAGGCAAAGCAGGAAAAAAAAATCCCATTGCAAAACCAGAAGAAAAGAAAGCAGCTCTGTTTGGAACCTCTATGGGCACAGCAGGAGCCCTGGGCAAAGCAGCCCCAGGCAGGAGCTGCACCCCACGTGCAAAGGGGACCCCCCAGCACCCAACCCCCCAACCCCAGCTCTGCCACAGCCCGAACACTATGAGGTATTTTAAAATAATTTCTGCTTTGATGAATTGCTGGCTAGCCCACGATTGCTCATCATCAAAGGGAGGAAAATGCAAATGAGAGCCAGCCGAGAACTCGCGGCACCAAGCGTTTATTTCACTGCACAGTGCCAAAAAGAATTAAAACAACATTAAACTCCCAGCAATAATGTTTAAGTCCTCGTTTCCAAGTGCCAAATTGCACCACTCTGGATCATACAGATGTTCGTTAATTATGCTAATTTTTATTAAACTATTAAAACGAGGAGTGCACTGGCACAGCAAGGCAGAGCCCAGTGCAGGGTGAACTCTGCTCTCGTCTGGAGGTGCTCATTTACATCTCGCTAACGTGCTGATGCTTGAGACGGGGCTGCAGTGCTCGGGTTTTGGAGAGGGGGGGGGAGGAAGAGGGAGTTTGAGGGTTGGTTTTACCTAATTACACGCTAATGGGGCCTCTGTGCTCAATACCTGCATGGACTGGGTTGGATGGGGGGGGTGGGGAGGAAGTAATTTAGCTGAGACTTTACAGAAGGGGCTGCAAACTCACGAATCTGGCAGATAATTGGTCAGCTGTGCGTGCTGCTCAGTGCTGTGGGCAGGGGGGAGTTTGGTGCTCTGTCCCAGTTGCCTATGGGCACCCAGCAGCACTGGAAGCCAATCCTACCCCCTAGGGCCCCTCTCTGCTCCTGTCATGCAGCTCCTCTCCATCTCAGCGCTGCTGGAACTGTCAGATTCACTCCCAGGATGAAGAACCCCCCCTTCCCCCCCCAGGCACTTTCTGCATTTCGTTCCCTGGTGCCAATGGAAGCCAAAAGCAGACACTCGTTCTGATAATCACCAGCAATCGGGGGCTCTTATGGCAGCCCATAAAAGGATTGATGCTGCTGAGCTCCATCCGCAAGGGAAAAAGAGGACAGAGGGGAAAAGAAACAAGACAACCACCGCAAAAAAGAAACAAACCCAAACCCAAACCAAGCCAAACCCCAACCACAAACCACTGCCACCAAACCCATGAACAAAACCAGCTGGGGACACCTCCATGCTCTTTGGGAAGCTCCAAGTGCCCCATCCCGCTCTTCTCTTCTTGCTGAGGCTCTGTGGGCTCTCCGTGGGGTTGAAATGTACCCCCGAGCAGCACTCCCAAGCCCTCCTTGCCTTTGCACTCCTTTGCCAGCTCTCATAAACAACCCCTCTGGGCTCCGGGAACGCCATTCATCACCTCGCTTTGCACAGAAGATCAATGACGCTTTGATGGATGCAGAAGGAAAAGCCAATCAGTCAGAGACTTATCGGTTTATGATTGCTCAGCCCCATTATTAGTGCTTGTGTGTCATACATTATTGTTAGGAAAATGGAGGAATCTAATTCATCGATGAGGTACGAGGGGTCGGCTGACACCGGGGAGTTTTATACCAGGTCAGCTGTATGTCTAAAAGCAGCTCAGGGCTGTGGCAAGCTCTGAAATCCAGGCTCTACCCGTCCACAAGGCCTGCCTGTCCCCAGGGAACTTGCAGCAAGGGGTGCAGCTGGGAGCTCCTTTCCCCCTCCACACACAGAGCAGCTTTCTCTATGGAGGAGCAGCTCAGGTGCTGCTCACCACAGCCTGGCGCTGCCCCCTTCACACACCGCTCCTGTAAACCACAAATGATTCCCCCTTGCTCCCAGTGACTCAGCTCTCAGATGTTGCAGGAGTGGAGGTGATGGGGCAATGCTCTTTCCCCTCGTCCCATGTGCTGTGGATGCAGTGCCCGGCCCCACTGGTGTTCCCATCGTGTCCATCCCATTGGGGTCTGCGTATCCATCCTACTGGAGTCCCCCTGTCCATCCTACTGGGGTCCCCGTGTGCCCACCCCCCCAGGGTCCCCATGTCCATCCCGTTGGGGTCTATGTATCCATCCCACTGAATTCCCCACGTCAATCCCATTGGGGTGTCTCTATATCCATCCCACTGGAGTCCCCATGCCCA